CGGTCAACTAGAAAGTTTACTGAAAAGAAATGTCATGTTTAACTTTTACAGCGAGATACAGGAGAGGTGGCTCCACGGAGTCTGGTTTTCTCCAACAATCTTTCTGTCTGTTCTTAAACAATCTTTCTCTTTCCATTGACTTTTAATAACACCTTACATCACAAACCACACCTCTGCTTTGGTCCATCCACCAATCAAAAAGCTCTCAAATGAACCGGAAGTAGAACCCATTTAAATGTGGCAACTTCCCAGTTCAGAATTTGTAGAGTTCAGAAGAAGAGAGTTCAGAAAGTTCAGCTCAGTCTTGAAGCTGCTGTAAGCTCAGTCTTGAAGATGGAGCAGCAGTTCAAGCAGAGAGTTCGAAGAGTTCAGAAGAAGAGTGCAGCTCAGAGAGCCCAGAGAGTTCAGCTCAGTCTTGAAGCTGCTGTAAGCTCAGTCTTGAAGATGGAGCAGCAGTTCAAGCAGAGAGCTCAGAGAGTTCAGAGTTTTTGGAATCCAGAATGCAGAGAGTTTGGGAGTTCCTGAATGCAAACGCAGGCATTCATGGATGCTGCTAAACCAATCAAGCTGAACCAGAGACGATTTTGGGAATTATAACTTCTGTTTGGATAACCTCGCACGACTCTCGAGGTATTTAGCTGTTCTCACTGAGACTCTGAACAGTGGTTGGAAGTGAGACTCCACGCCGGAACTGATCTATCTTCAGAAAAGGTAAAAGTCGACCTTCACCAAAAGTGTACTGTTGGGACAAGCTGATTTCCGAAGGAGCGTGCACGTTCTGGTTAAAACAGACAAATTCCCTCACGAATCTCTCTCAGATAAACTCCATCTTTCCATCTTTAAACTCTCCTTTCTGCTAGAAAATTAATCCAGATGTTTTCAGAAATGTCTGTGGTGTAGCAACGGAAAATCATGGCCGTATGGTTTTCCTGGTTGTAAAGCTGATTGATTATGTTGTTATTTTCATATTCTGCCAAATTAATGTAAATGTGTGATGTGTTAAACTTGATTCTGTTAATAAATGACCCACTCGCTTGGTGAGTCAAAGATAATTAACGTCTCACGTCCACATTTCTGTTAAATTCAAAGCACGACATCATCCAGTCCAGAAAGATGAGTGAACCCGTTTAATGTATGAATATATCTCAGGATATGTCATACTACACATTTGTCTTGGAATCTAGCTGTTTTTTTGTTTTTGTTACCTTTTTCCTTTTAGCCATCCTATTTGTTAAAAAAAAAAAAAAAAAAAAAAAAATCTGTAGTATGAGTTTTTATAACTGCTTATTGTTGTTGCTGTTGTCCATTGTTGTCATCTTTCTTTGTTGAAATCAGGTCTCTCTTGTAAATGAGTCCTCGAGGCTCAATGGGATTTACCTGTATAAATAAAGGTTGATTGATAAAGCAATATGATCATCATCCATCATGTTTATTAGTAGCTTAAAATACCTAATTAAAACTCCAGTAATGGGCTAGGTCTACTGTAACGTTACCCAGTTGTAGGGTCAAGAGACAAACATGTAGCATTAACACAGTATGAACAACATTCAGGAATTGTTTCTATAAGAACATTATAAATATTTTACATGAACGGTAAGACTGCTTCGCCTATGAGGAAATTTAAAGTTTGGTACAAACACCAGCATCCTCACCAACTTTTATAGGTGCACCATTGAGAGCCTTCTGACAGGCTGCATCACAGGGTGGTATGGGAACTGCATTATGTGGCTGTATCATGTATGTATTTACCTTACCATCATAATTCATCTCCATGTCACTCACTACCTGTGCAGTTTATGTTAGTTATGTGCAGTATACATCATGTGAATTTAAGCTTATATTACTACCTTGAAATACTTATTCAGACAAATTCATCCTACTTGCACCATTATATTCTGTTGTTTACTATTTTTTTCTTTAGGACCTTGTAAATATTGTATTTACTTTTTCACTTTTTCGTACTTTATTTTGTACCCTTATTGAATGCTTTAGTATTTCTTGTTTGTTTGTTCAATGTTTTAGTGAGTCAAATCAGTTCTTCTCATCCTGAATATTTTATTGTACTGTTAACCTTGTGTTAACCTGCATATAAATGGATGGTAAATGGACTGTACTTATATAGCACCTTTCTATCTTATTGAGATACTCAAAGCGCTTTACACTACAATCTGTGTCCTCATTTACCTAATCATACAGCACTCTACTAGATCTCTACAAAGCTAATTGAACAAATCATTCTAAAGAGACTAATCAGAGCTTTATCACATTCATACACCGATGGGACACACATCAGAGGCAACGAGGGGTTCAGTGTCTTGCTCAGGGACACTTCGGCATGTGACTGCTGTTGAATTCGAATCCCCAACTCTTACATTAGAGGACGACTGCTCCAACCACTCAGCCACAGCCGCCATATGACAAATAAACATAACCTGAATTAAGCATTAACCTTTAATTGAACGATTAAGTATGCAATGTAATTAAGACAGAAAATGGAGGATTTACCTGCAGTTACTTTCATAGAGATGAACATGTGGTAGCTACTTCCTGTTTATAACTTGTGATCAGCTGATGTGGTCGGTTCCCAGCTTTTTACATGTTTTCCAAACTTCGTTTAATTTATGAAAACGAATAAACTGTATCCCACCCTCTAAACGCTCAGGGTAACACGTGTCTGGATTGCCTGTTCTCCACTGACACTGTTTAACCATTTTGTTCTGGTGATTTTTCACAAACCCCTCTGACTGTAAAGCGTCCAGGCTGCAGCCTCAGGTAAGGGGCGTTTACCTTCGGGACAAATTGAGGTTGCCGATTGGTCATTTGTTGACACGCCTACTGGATTGATTGACAGGTCGCACAGAGGAGCCGACTTGTGGAAAAAGAAAAAAAACGAGAGCTGCAGCCGGTGTTCTGAATACCGGCCCTGAGGTGGAGGCAGGGTGGCCCAGGAGCAGTGGTTGCGTGTTCAGTGTTAAATGTTGTTGATAAAAAGCTCTAAAAAATAAAAAATTGTGAGCGCCGGCCCTGCAGCCCACACATCAGACTGGCCCACCGGGAAATCTTCAGGGGCGGCTGTGGCTGAGTGGTTAGAGCAGTCGTCCTCCAATGCGAGAGTTGGGGGTTCGAATCCAACAGCAGTCACATGCCGAAGTGTCCCTGGGCAAGACACTGAACCCCTCGTTGCCTCTGATGTGTGTCCCATTGGTGTATGAATGTGATCAAAAGCACTGATTAATCTCTTTAGGATGATTTGTTCATTCTTTGCTGTATGAATGGGTAAATGAGGCACAGGTTGTAGTGTTAAGTGCTTTGAGTATCTTGAAATAAGGTAGAAAGGCGCTATACAAGTGCAGTCCATTTACTATTTACCATTCAGACCCTCCCAATTGGCCACTCCGGGCCTGATGGTCAGGGATGCGCAGCTGAATAAAAGAGGCAGAAGATCAGAGCTGAAGGGGTGTTTGTCCTTTCATGGCCATAAAAGAACATTTAAACCCTGTTTCTGCTGCATTCTGATTTATTCAGACACGAACTCTGCTCTGACATGTCTGCTTTGGGACCTCACGTGTTTGGGTCGTCGGCCACACACGTCCGCTGAGCACAGCGGCTGAACGAACGTCCTTTTGGGCGATGGATCACTTCCTGGAAGTACAGTCCCATCTGAATCTTAACTGAACTTTTTACTTCTTTCAAGGCCGGTCATCTCGCAGTGAAACGGCTGCGTGTGGCTGGTGGAAGTATGGCAGGCCATGTTATCATGTAATTGGATTGCGGCTGATCCTGACCCAATTAAAAGCCCGACACCGACCCGGCTCGCCCATCCAGGACATTATCATGGCCTGGCCCACCCTGAATTCGGGTCGGGTGGGGCCGGGCTTAGGGCTCGGGTTAGAAATGACAGCTCTACCTGGCATCATGCAGCCTTCACAACACAAATTATACTGTGTCAGGCAAGTGACCAAAAAACAACAACAACCAAAAAAAAACATAAGTCAATTTTGTCAACCTGCATGTAATTATTAAAACTAAATAATTTACAGGTTCCTTCCTACCTTGATGCCACCATTTCTACACTTCATAACTTTTATTGCCTTTTCCTTCAGTCCACATGGAATACAATCATCTCCTCCAATTGTTTTCTTTCCACTGTTCCTTCCCCATTACTGATTTTACCAATTTTACTTTCCATAAACTTGTATTTCTTGGCTTCTTTCACCATATTTCTCCTTCAATGTATTCTCTAGAACACCTTCAGAGCTGGACTTATCAAATCTTAGGGCAAAATCTTGCTGCACACAAGACAGACGTGATAGCTAAGATGATACGTACTCTATTTCTTTCACATACACACACACACACACATATCCTAACCGCGCACCCCCAACACCACCGGTCAATAACTGCCGTCACTAACATAGCAGTAAGCTAGCGCGCAACACAGAGGTGTCTCCCCCTCCTCCCTCCGCCCCGTCAACAAAACCCCCCGAAAAGATGATCACCTGCTGAGCCAAGTGGTCGAGGAAGAATGCTGTTTCTTAAAAGGAAACTATACCATCTACCATGCTTCTGACCCCTCCACCCTCAGAAAAAAAAAAAAAAACTATTCGGATCTAGACGATTCACGGAAATTATATATTTTAGTTTGAAATTGGCAAATTTTGCTGAAAAGCGACTAGTTTGCAGGTGTGAACTATGCAACTTCTGAAGGTAACAGTTGTGTCTTCAGTGGAATACACATGCACAACTTTTCAATTGTATACTTTTAGAAATACAATACATATATTACAATTTATGTATTATTTATGTTTTTTTTTTTTTACCCCATTTAATTTTAATAATATGGGTTATTTTGTGTGGGTCCATAAACAAATTAAAAATCCTAACAAATTATAGATTTAAGGCAACAAAACAGACTACCAAGAGGAGCGGAACTTTAAAAACCCACTGTAGTCTTTTGGTTTTGATTAACCACTGGTATCGGTCAGCAAGAGAAAACTAACCTGTCCAAGGGTACACTCCGTTTGTCCCAGGAAGTCAGCCTCCCCCAGACTACAGTTTGCACTGTCGATGTCGTACACTTCAAACCTGAGTTTCTGCACCATCTCAAAGTAATAGTCGAGTACCAGACTCTTGGAAAACCTGGGATTAAGACAGTTCTGGATCTTCTCTGTTCGTCCAATCTAAGGACAAAAAGACAACACAGAAAGATTAGGAGGGACAAGACCATTTATGGTATGGTATGGTATGAAGTTTATTCATTTTAAAAAAGTACAAAACAATTCCATAACAATATATAAAAAAGATACAAAAAAGATTTAAAATGAAAGGCAGCAGAAAGAAGAAAAAATCTTATTTTATCTGCCCCTTTTTTCAAACAATTATTTCAGACATAATAATTTTCAAGTAACAGAACAAAATGAATAACTTTCTAATTTTTCTAATTCTAATACAAAACACACACTAATCTACTTCATATATACTTTTTTAACAATCCAGATTTGACCTTTTTCTTAAATGTACACATTGACTTGACATTTTTCACATCACTCTCTAGACCATTCCACAATCCAACTCCTTGGATTGAGGTAGACCTTCCCTTCAGACTAGTTCTGAATTTTGGTTTGACAAATATTTCTATCCCCTTAAGATTATAACAACTTTGTCTTTTAACAAAATTTCTTTGGATATTTAACGGTAATGTGTTATTTTGAGCCCTATACATAACTGATAAAATACTATAATCTACTAAATCATGGAACTTCAATAACTTCAGTTGATAAAATAATGTGCTTGATGGGTGACTGTAATGCTTTCTGGTGATAATTCTTACAGCTCTTTTCTGTAAAATAAAAATAGGTTTTGTAAATGTTTTACACGCTTTCCCCCAAACATCAATGCAATAGATTAAACGTGGAACAATGATTGTGTTATACAACATGTACAGAGCTTTATCATTTAATAATTCCCTGACTTTGTATAGTACTGCAATGGATTTAGATATTTTTGTTCTTACAGAATTTATGTGATTTTTCCATGTTAGCTGTTCATCAATGATTACACCCAAAAATTTCATCTCATTAACTCTACAAATCTCAACACCCTCAATTTTAAATGGATCATCAACAGTTCTCTTTTTGTTACTAAATATCATGTATTTAGTTTTATCTAAATTTAGTGATAATTTATTAAGTTTAAACCAAGTTTGTATTTTATCAAATTCTGTCTTCATCAGTTCCAACATCCGTTTTACATCTTTACCCAAACAAAAAAATGTGGTGTCATCTGCAAAAAGGACACATTTGAGGAGTCCTGATACATTCACTAAGTCATTCACATATAAAATAAATAACTTTGGTCCAAGTACAGAGCCTTGAGGAACTCCA